CCCCCCCCCCACCCCCTCCCTCTAATCCATCCACCTTGCACCCCACCCATCCGTCGACACCGAAAGGCACAACAGTACTCAATCGGCACATGGAGTGTAAGAAGCACACAAATCACACGCAGCCCGGTCAACAGCCCAGCGACTTCACAATTAAGTCCAGTAAAGCAAGTAGGCAAGCGGCCAGCCTCGCTCGGCCCCCCCCGCAGGCGGGCAGGGTGCTTCTGCATTATGAGCGGCATTCGAGTATGGCGGCCAGCTTGAGCAGGTCGACCGGGCCCTCGGACACATCGCCCGCTGCCGGCGCGGAGAGGGGCTTCTGGACCTGCTTCAGCAAAGCAATGCCGTCCTTCCACTCGCTGCCCTCTCTCACAGAGGCCGCCTTGTATGCTTTGAAGAATGTATTCGCTGCAGTCAGCCACAGACAGGTAGGCAGACAGGCAGCACGGGCACACTTGGCTCATTCCAATGGATGTGCAGCCAGCTGTTTTTGTCAGCTTGCTAACCCAGTTTCCACCACTCGACCAACTGCTCGACAAACGAAGTACATCCCTTCTCGGTGAGCACCGCAATCCGAGGCGAGTCCTTCTCGACCTGAAGAAAGGAAAAGATCTTGTGTCTCTTGCCTGATCCTTGTGTCTCTTTGCCCTACTGCGCTGTCGAAGTCAAAATACACAGTGTGGCCCTTGAACAGGCCCATGTTGTCGCGCTGCGATAGACAGACACACAACCGAGTGAATATGGAGCGAGAGCTGAGCTGACGCCAAACATTGCTTACCTTGATGTCGAATATCGAGATGTCCCTCTCTTGAAACCAATGGAGTCCCCTCAGTGCGGCGGAGAAATGGCTGAGCAGCTCGTCGCATGTCAGGCTGCCCCTCTGGATGTCCTCCCAGGTCCCTGACCACCATGCAACCATCAGCAGCCTGCAAGAATGAATTGTACCTGTGTACTGTATCTTCCTGCCGTGGGTCTCACCCTCCATCAACGGCATCAGCACCACAGTGCGGCCCTCAGCCCCCCGGGCGGCCGTGTGCACGTCAATGTGCATACTGTGGAAGGGGAGGACGGCTGGAGGCCACCCGCTCCACTCGTCCAGCAGCTCCTTCAGACCAGAGGTCATCCAGGAGGCCGGCGGGCATATGGGCGGGTGGCCGGGGGGTGCCGTCTCCGTGGCGTTTGTGGCGCACTCCGCCTTCCATCTGTTGGCCGCCTTTCGCACCGTCTGGAAGCCCTCAAAAGCCTAGGAGCCAACAAGGGACCACCATCGACTTTGAGCAGCTGCCGGACCTTGAGTCTTACGAATTCGGGGCAGGATGGCAGCTTCGCGAATTTGGCGGCCCAGCGAGGGCGGTCCTCTGGATGGCTGCCGGGCGGTGCGTCGGTGTACTCGAGGTAGATCACGTGCGAGCAGAGTCCTTCCCCGAGCTTCATGGGCTGCCCTGAGGTGTCCACCGACGGACGAAGGCCGTACTTCGACAGGGCAGCCTGAATCAACGTGCAGAATGATCCACACACTGGTCTACATGAGAGGCTTTGCTCAGCTCACCAGGATCTCAGGGGTGACCACCTCGTCCAGCCTCAAGTTGCGATCTTCGGGTGTGTCCGCCGAAACGCTCTTGGCGGCAGTACAGAGACCTGCACGCAGCAAGAAACGGCACAAGAGGTCTGTCTGCCGGCTTCATGGCCCACTGTATCATGTGGAATGCGTCACACATACCTTTTGAAGCGCGTGTAACATTTTCGTGGGCCTGGATCTTCCCTACTCCCCCCTCTTCTGTCTCGTTGGGCATCTCCCAGGACGCGCCCGACGTGGCGGCCTGCAGTGCAGACAGACAGGCAGACAGACAGACAGACAGACAAGAGGCAGAGAGACAGAAGGGAAATGATGTCATTATTGTCATGATGTCAAATGCGAGAGGCGTCCGGCATACTGGGGCGGATGTGGACGTGCTTTGGGTCCCATTCCCTTGTTCCTTCTGTGACGGGACAGGCAGCCCTCACTGATTGCAATGCATTGCTGTGCGTGGCTCTCGCCTTTCCGTTCTTACGTGTGTGTGCCTGTGTGTCCCCTCTTGAGTGTCCTTGCCGGCCCGGGGCAGACCATTGGCGGCCTGGTGTTGATGAGGGTGGGCCCGCCCGTCCCCCGAGGTGAGTTGCCCTTCCCCTGCTGCTGGCTTGTCTCGCCACTCATGTTCGTCGACTGCCTTGTGGGCGCAGCACTGCCAGCCGCTCGTGGCCGTGCACTTGGAGCGGCACCATGCTGATACGGCGGCACCGATGGCGCTCAACATGGTAATGTGCACGTGATTGTTTCTGGGGGCTGATGCATGTTGCACGCTAAGCTCAGAGGCTCGCACTCCGCCGCCGAGGCCTTTTCCCATTGCAAGGGCGCGACTGGTGGGCCCATTTGGACCGTATAGTAGTTATGCGTGGGGCTTGCGAATTCTGTGTGTGCGTGACACTGTGCAGCAGCACATGACACACACAGTCAGTGACGGACGGAACTCGATGATGTGTGTGCATGTTTCGTGTACTGTGGGCTTAGATGACTGAGGATCCACACACATATACACACACATTCTATTTGTCTACGAGAGAGAGAGGGAGAACGGTCTTGCAGGAGCACACACCGCCGATCGATACACACAAAGGGCTGCCGCCTCTCTCTCTCTCTGTCTCTCTCTCTCTGCACACCATTGCACCGCTAGACAGACAGACACACAGACTAGTGTACACGCTCTAGACAGACAGATGCAATACTTGTTTGTATTAAGGGATTGCCTGTGCTCCTTGCTGTGAGTGAGAACAAACTCTCCTTTCTTCTGGCAGACGGACAAGTTATTAGCTGTACACACATCCGTACACACACTCCACCACACAGCGGCCTCCTCCCCACACAAACAAACAAAGACTCTCACTCTAAGGCACGCCAACAAAAATCCCCCCGAGACAAAACCAACCCCAACCCCCACCCCAATGGGATGGCACCCCTCCCTCGCCCATGTGTCTGCCCATCTCCATCCATGCGCCTGTCTGTCTGTCTCGTCATTCGTTCATGGCATGCCCTGGAAGTTTTCGTTCTCGAAGAGGTCGCTGTCCGGGCCCTCCCCCCTGCCATGCCTTTGCCCTTGCCCACCCTCCCCCTGCTGCATCATTGTGTCGAGCCGCTCCTTCAGACGCCGCCGTATCGCACACACAGCCGACAGCTGACCTCGGCCCATCGACACATTGCCGGGGATCGAGACGTCCTGCTTGTTGCTCGGTGAGGGGATGAGCGGCACGATCAGGGCGCCCCCGACGGTGCCGCTGCCCGTCATGGACACGCCCACCCGCGGCGGCTCGAAGAGCACCTCAAACTCCGTGTTGGAGCGAAACCGCCGCCTGAAGTAAAAAGCGCAGCCGTCATCTGCACACGCACACGCATCCACACAGCCAGCCGGCAGCCAAGGGGGAGCGATATGGGATGGCGGATGTGTCCGTGGACACATGTATGTGTCGCTTGATATGATATGATGTAATGTGAGGTTTTGTTGCCGACTTGACTTACCGCACTCTGATTGGAACCAGTAGAAGGGCAGGTCGGGCCAGGGGCCGTCGATCGTCAAGGTGGGCGACCTGTGCACACACACACACACAGACAGACACGGATGCACGAATGTGCGTCCGTGTGTTGATGCATGTGATGTAACCAGGCGTCCCTCCCCTCTCACCTGAGCAGGGCTTTGTGCCGGACCACTCTGGGGTCATTCGTCACCGGCTCGATGTCCAAGGTGGTGAAGCTACCGTCCAGCCAGAACTTCATCAGCGACGGGAAGTCCTTGAGCGCAGTCAGGTCCACAATCATAGCGTTCTCCTTGCCCAGCTCCCTTATCTCCCTCAGCAGGTCCAAAGCCGCCCTGTCCCTCTCGCCAGGAAAGGTGGGGTTCAGTGCCATGTAAATCAGCTTCATCGTGTTGATGGACGACGACCGGCCGATGTGCAGGCACCCGATGGCCCGCAGCCGGTGGCTGCAGAACCACCCCACACACCGCCTGTTTCTGTGCATGGCCTCCAGCGACCCCGCCCACTGCCGCATCCTCACAAGCACGTCCACCTCGTCACTCGTGACGGCACCGCGACCGCCAGCGCCACTGCCGTCATCGGTATCCGACAAGGATGAGCCAATGGTCAAGACCTGCAGCCACCTCTCAGTGGCGCTGAGGGCTTCCTCCTGCGATAAGACGCGCAATCCATCACCACCGCCTCCGTGACGCTTCTCCGTGACGGTTGGCGGTGGCGCTGGCGGCGTTGCCACAGCTGACAGCAGAGATGTGCGGGGCGAGGTGAGCCTCTCATGGACAGATGGAGAGGCGGGAAGGATGAACGAGGTTGCCGTGGGCAGCCACACCGATAATATCATCCACGAGGGAAGCAGGTCGCCCAGGAGCATCATCGTCGCAGCGCAACTCGCCGGCCGACAGTAGAGAGAGAAAAGAACAGCTTTGTTTTACTTCAGATCTGCTTCACACAAAACGCCGCACAAGCCCCTGCTTCAGCGCAGGCACTTGCATCTCCACGAAAGCTCGCAAATTGAATGCGCGCTTAGGGCGGCGGTGCTCTCTCATGCACCCCCAGCACTCCGTGCGTGGTTGTTATAAGGGCGTGTTTGTGTGTGACTGGGCGATCTGCACTGGCTGGCCACCTGGGGATGGGCGGTATCTACGTATGGAGTCATGGTGCCTGACGCACGCACGCACGCCGCCTTCAAGCTGCTGCTGGGGTGGCGTGTGTGCGACGCTGTGTGCCTGCTTGTATGTGGCCGTCGTTCGCAGCGCATTGCATATCCTCCTCTCTGCTGCATCTGCCCTCTGCGTGCTGCGTGTTGCGTGTCCGGGTTGCATGTTAGGGTGCCTGTTTCATGTTGGACAGACCGACAGGGGACTTGGCCGTCAGGCCACCTAGGGTGCTCCCTGAAACCGCTGCGAATGCGCGCTTAGCTCGGAGACCGGAGAGCGGTGGAGGCAGAAATGGAGAAGAATTCAACGTTAAGCAGCTGTTCATTGGCTCACCTGCATCCGCCATCTTGCAGGACAGCCGAGGGTGCGGCAACAGAAAGCAGGCGGACAGATGCCCCTCCACCAGCCCATGCATCCCGCCACACCAACCACCCGACCTGCATCCACTGTCCGGCTGCAGAAGGTCCCAGTCACGCCTCAGCCAAGATCTTTGCCTGCAGGAAGCACACGAGGAGGAAAACGAGAGGGGGATCGCAGCTCATGCCGCTGTCCATCAGCTGGATCTGGGCAGCGCTGGTGGTGCTATGCCTGGCGAGTCGGCGTGTTGATGCATTCCGGCTGCAGAGCGTCGATCTCTTGATGACTGGCCGCAGTGCTGCCCGGCTGCTGCGAGGGAGGGGCAGGGAGAGGGCGGGTGGTTTGGGTGAGCTGAGGCCGCCGGGAGCTGTTGCTGTGGACAAGGAGACCCTCCTCACCGAAACGGAGAGCGCCAGTGGCGACCTCACCGAAGGTAGGACGGACGAAGGAGGGAGGTTCACGACTCACTCACTCATGTGTGTAAGTGTGGTGTGGATGGTTTCGGTTCATTTGCGGTGCAGATGGCCTGGGTGCTCGTGTGCGCATCCTGAGTGGCCGCTATGCGACCTGCGAGGGCGTGGTCGTCGACACCAGATGGGACGCCAAGGGGCAGCTCAAGGTCAGTCGTCAGTCATAGTCACACAGAGACCGTCCGAAGAACAAGTCTGACATGTTCATGTGATATATGCGGTCGGGTCTTTTGTGTTGGTGTTGGTGTGTGTGGTGTGGTGTGCAGCTGTATGTGCGTCGCGATTGCCGTGTGGGCGAGGCGGAGTCAATCCCGCCGGAGTTTGAGCCAGGACACGACAGAATGTGGTGGTGCGCAATACACATGCATTGCATGACGACTCGATAGATGTGCCATCCGCCCTCCTGTTCTCCGTCTGTCTGTCTGCTTGCCGGCAGGTATCCCGTGGCATCGCTGCGCCGCATCGCCGCCAAGGCGCCCCCTCCCTCTCCCTCTCCCCCCCTCTCCCTCATTGAAGGCATCGACATCCCCACAGCCGCCGATTTGCGGACTGCAGCCAACATGCCCGCCCCAGCGTCCTTCCCCATGGCGAGCCAGCTGTTTGGCGGTCTGGACAGGCAGGGGCAGGTTGGTGAGAGGGGCGTGTACGCCGCCATTAAGAACAGCCTGCTCAACGCCAAGACGACTGACGAGGTGCTGCGGTTCTGGGTGGCAAACAGAAATAGGATGGAGCCCGCCAACTTCCCACACGCACTCTCAAGGCTTGGGCGGTCCGTCAAGTGAGTAAATATGCCACGCGGCGCCGAGCAAATCTGTCCTCTATCAACCTCTCTCTCTCTCTCTCTGTGTGTGTGTGTGTGTGTGTGTGTCAGAGAGGCCGGTAGGCAGTCTGGAAGGCGTCAGAGTGACAGCCGCGCGCGGCGCACCACGCGAGATGAACTCCTCAGCGACAAGAGGTGAATGAACGCACCCAACCAACCCAAGCAGCGAGGGGCCTTTTTTAGTGACACACTTGTGCGTCGCGTCTCTGTTCGTTGCTGATCCGCTCGTCTACAGGTTTTCCGACATCATGACCGAGCTCGCCCAGCCAGATACCATCGGGTAGAGAGAGAGGGGGAGAGAGAAAAGAAAGGCCGTCTTGCGAGCCAAATCGACACTTACTTGTCCGTGTGCGTCTCGATGTGTGTGTCACCGAATGCAGGCCTCTGGACGGCCCCTCCCATCTCTTCAGCATTGTCATTGCATTCGCACAGCTGGCACTTCACAAGGTGAGTGAAGTGTGTGAATGGGTGGAGAAGGAAGGGCACTGCAATTGAATAAGAGGTCCTTCACCGATGTGTGTGTGTGTGTGTATGTGTGTTGCCTTGCCTTGCCTTGCCAGGCGCCCGCGTATGAGTTCGTCTACTCGGCCATCATGCGCGACGTCACTTCCAAGCTCCCCGCTGCCGTTCCATCTCTCAGCGTGCGTCGTCAGTCAGTTATCCAAGGCGTGGCGTCCCTCTCCTTCTTCATGCGTGTCTGTGCTGTTCTGAGCAGATGAAGCTGCTGGCCCGTCTTGCATGGGCGCTGGCAAAGCTGGGCGTGAGGGAGAGTGCCGTGTGGGACGCCATCGGTCAGGAAATCACCGACGCGCCCGACCAGATGAATGAAGTGGTCAGTCAGCTCAGCGACCGCAGGCAGGACGATATGTCAGGACAAGGAGGCATCTGTATGTCATGTGTGTGTTGGTGTGGTGCCGGTTGGTATGTCGGCTGGTTTGGTTTGCAGGACTATCCTTTTTTCGTTCACGCGATGGGCTCTGTGGGCTACAAGAATGAGGCCGTGTTGAGCCTCATGGCCGACGAAGCTCTCAGGAGGGACCTGGTGTCCCAACTCAATCCTCAAGTAACTCCTCGCGCACACAGAGGGAGGGCACCACAGCCACCGCAGGCGGACACCCCTTTGTTTGTCATCTCATCTCATTCACAGGGTTTGTCGAACGTGGCATGGGCCCATGCGAAGCTGGGCATCCACAACGGGCGGCTGTTCCAGGCCCTCGGCGAGCAGGTCATCAGCCTGTCGTCCCGCTTCCGCGAGCAGGAAGTGGGCATCATCCCATGGGCATTCGCCACACTCGGTCGGTCAGTCGACACAGCTGCCACCACATGGCGTGTGATGTGCGTGGGGTGGCTGCAGGTTACTTCGACCGCGAGGTCTTCCGTGCGCTTGGGCGTGCGGCGGTTGAGAGCAAGAAGTACCTGACGACACAGCCGGCCCAAGTGGCGTGGGCCTTCGCAGCGGCCGACATGCCACAGGCACATGTGTTCAAGGCCATGGCGGAGGAGGTGGGCGATGCGAGCAGCAACTGGAATAACCGAAAAAGCGTTCAGTTCGTTTGCGTACCTTTCTGTGTCTGTATCTGTTTGTTCTGGTTGGCTGATTGGTCTGGACAGATGGTGTGGCAGCTGGACCGGTATACGGCCAAGCAGCTGTCGCAGGTCATCTGGGGGTACGGGAAGCTCGACCACATCGACCAAGCGCTGCTGCAGAAACTCACAGGCGCCGTCTTGCAAAAGTAGGAAGGAAGAGGCAAAGGGGGAAAGGGCGGGCCACACACACACACACGCACTCGTTTGTCTCCTGTCTGACTCCCGTGCGTGTGTTTGTTGTGTTTGTTGTGTCTAGGGTGTCGACCTTCAAGATGGTTGATGTGATGATGACTCTGCAAGGGCTGGCGGCCAGCCTCACGGGATCCATGCAGCACCACAAACTGGACGCACTGCCACTGGTCGACGGTACGCACGCACCCACCCACCCATACACACACACACACTCTCTCGCCCATTGGCGCGTTGTGTGTCCCTCTCAACGCAATGCAGCTCTGGCGCAGTCGGCGGTCCGCTGCCTGGCGGAGCGATCTGCCGATGTCCCTCCCCACATGTACATCAACATCCTCCGCTCCCTCGCCGAGATGCGCGTCAAAGACGAAGAACTCCTTGACCTCATTGCAGCCATCGCATACGAGCAACGGCAATCGGTTGTGGAGACGCCAGCGGCCTTCGGGAGGCTCATATGGGCGGTGCGGACGCTTGCCGAGCCGCAGGAGGGAGAGGGTGACGAGATAGAGGCCGACTCCGCTGCGGGGCGGGTGCTGGTGTATGCGAGGGAGGTGCTCGAGACATATGTGAATCGGATGCTTGGTGCACCAGCAGCAGCCGATGGGGCGGCTTGTGGGTCAACGCCGTCGGCAGCTGTCGTGTTGAGCCTCTTCTCAAACCTGGTACGTACCACACTGACTCAGCCGAGAGGGAGACGCCTGTAATGTGTTGCTTCATTCCATTCGATTCAGCTTGAGAGCGGTGTGCTGCCGAACCCCGAGGCCATGGCGCGTGACATGCGGCTCATCGACAGGGTGCGGCAGATTGTGGTGGCGGCTGCAGACGACCTCACAAGATTCGACTGGGAGAAGGTGAGCAGAGCATCGGTGGGGTGTTTGTCTGGTGGCAGAGAGAGAAGAGGTCTTTTTGTGTCTTGTGTCTGGTTGTGGTTGTGGTTGTGGTTGTGGTTGTGTCCGTCCGTCAGCTGGTGGATTGCTTCGAGTTGTTTGAGCAAGTGCTGTCCGACGAGGAGCGGGACCAGTGGTTCGACATATTCGCCAACGTCCCAAGGTAAACACTCACAGACAGATCACAGATCGCCCACAGATGCATCCAGCGGACCCACTTCACATGTGTGTGTGTGTGTGTGTGTGTGTCAGGTTCATCGGTCCCGAGGATGAGCTGGCGGCCATGCGGGAGCAGCTGGCCCTCGAGCAGGACGCCGAGGCGCAGAGGCGGCTGGAGGAGGAAATGAGGCAACGGCCGGAGTACAGCCATCTGCCAAAGGTGGGTCGGTCGGGTGGCCAGGCCAACGAGCCAGCCAAAGCTTATGGCGTGGACGTGTGGAGGCCTCTTCCTCTGTGTGTGTGTGTGTGTGTGCAGGGTCTGCCGCTTGACTCTGTTGTGGTGGTTGACCCGAACGACTCTCTCACCACCCAAGGAGATGAGGTGCGTTCAGAACGTTCGTGACGTAACAGCCGGCCGGCACGTCTGCCGTACGTCCCTGTGTGCGTCTGTGTGTGCGCGTACGTGTCAACGGCCTCAGGAGGAGCCCAGTGGCCGTCGAGGATTCGACTACGAGGCGAGAGACAGACAAGTGGTGGGCAAGGAGAGCGCGCGGGGAGGACGGCGGTGACCTGACGGATTCGTGGACAATTGGTGGGTCGGTCGGCTTGTGAGATGCTGTGAGATGAGGTGTTTGAGTGTTTCTCTCGTAAGGCGATTGCACTCTGTAAACACAGGAGGTGCCTTTTTCGCCGTATGTGTATGTGAGCGGCACTGATGCTGAGTGCAACTGATGCTGGTCATGCTGGTTGATTGTTCGTCTGTCAACTTCACGAGGGTGATCTTATCTATGGTGTCTCGAGGTAAGACGCCATGGATCAGGTCGCCATCGGCTCGGTGACACACGAAGGACCAACGGCTGTGACTGTGCCGTCCTGAAGTGTGTGTTTCTGCCATGCCATCGTATCGTGGCACACGTCGGATTGGATCGGATCTGTGTCTGTCGTCCTTTGAATGAATGGAATGGTGTGTCATGTGTGTCCCTGCCCAACCCCCGTCAGTCAGATGCATGTTCGTTCGTTAGTTGATGTCCCTCACGAGTGATTGCAGAAACATACGCAGATGGAGACAAACCAAGACAGACAGACAGACCGACAAGAAAGGAGAGATGGAGAGAGAGTTCGGCGCAGTCGAATGTGTTGCCCTGTGTCACTGAGTGCCGTGTTGTGCCTCGCCAGCCATGCCCCCACACGCCACTTAATTGGCTAAAAGGACTGTAAAACACACACACACACGCCCACGCACCCACCCCCCGTTCGTCATCTATGATCCGTCGGCCGGCTAGCTAGCGAATGGCTGGGCTGCCCCGGGGCAGCTGCCGCGTGTGTGTGTTGCAGTTGGCAATCTACCTGTGTGGAGGGAGAGAGACCAACAGACACGTGCAGAAACACACGCATACATGCGTGTGAATGTCTGTTTGGCTCACGAGCAGACGGGGCCGTCCAAGACGCGGCACTGCAGGGGCATGTTGGCGAACTTGGGATGCGTCTCCAACTGGGGGGGGACAGGGATGTCCACGCAGTAGCACTTGCGGCCTGTGGCCTTGTCGACGCCGCAGTCATCTCCCCACTCCTTCCCATGGCACGAGATACCTGTAGCACTACCTGCAGACGCACAGACACACACAGGATGCACGTGTGAGTGGTGCGTATCACATATCCATCCAGCTGCCTCTGACAGCTGTAACGTGGATCCAGTGCGTGTGTGCGTCCGTACCTTCTTGAGTGCCTGCGGTGGCCTTGGTACCACCACCTGCCTTGGCGATCTGGCCCTCCACATATGCGATGGTTGCCGTAGCAGATGCCGTGTTGTTGCGGGAAGCTGTCAAGGTGGCCATGCGGTGCAGGAAGGGACGGGCCTTAACCTGGCCCAGGACACCGGCCGACAGAGACTTTGAAGCTGCATGAGACACACACGCACCGTGACGGAGACGGGCGGTGCTGCCGCCCTTCTCCTTTTCGACACGCACCCAGGTTGGTGGCATTGATGCGTTGCTGGTGGGCTTGCGCAGGTTGGCTGACCGACAGGCACATTACCAGTGCAATACCGATAGCCAGGTCCACGCCGACCACGAACGTCTTGGACAGCATCATTCGTCTAGGCGTCTCTCGAACGAAGAGAGGATTCAGGTGTATCAGGATCTGATCAGGATAGGATCGAACGAAGAGAGGATTCAAGGAATGGCTCAAAGCAGTGGTCAAATCCGAGACACTCACTCAGAGACGGCAGGGTGGGGCGGTGCGAGCTAAGCGTCCATTTCCCTTCAGACCCGTTCCAGAACACCGCAATCATGTGGCTGGTGGTTCTTTGTTCGTCGCTGGTTGCTCTGCTGCTGCTGCCGGAGGGGCCCGCCTTGTCCGCAGCCATGACCCCTACCGCGGAGAGCTCGAAGTCACTGCTGAAGGCGGGTTCGTCGATGTGAGCCCCCTGCTCAACAGGCGTCGGTTCGATGAACCGCGAAACAATTGTGGCCCGGTCCCCAGATCTTGGCCAAGAT